GCCGCGCGAGGCCCCGGCGGCGCGGGCGGCTGCAGCAGGTGGGCACCGTGGCGCAGCTGTGGATCTACCCGGTCAAGTCCTGCAAGGGGGTGCCGCTGAGCGCGGCCGAGTGCACGGCCATGGGGCTGCGCAGCGGCCACCTGCGCGACAGGTACAGCCGGGCCCGGGCGCTGGGCAGCAGGGGACCTGCTGGGGATAGGGTCAAGGTAGGGGGGTAGGGGGAGGTGACCCTGTCTCGGTGAAGGAGAATAGAGGTTTACCATCTGGATTTCCTGGGCTGCTTGTAGGACCCTCTGTCTCTGATCCTTTAGCCGGGAAGGTCAAGTTCATGTCTGATTCTGATTTGGAAATGTAGGTAGAGGTAAACCGCTGTCTCTCTCTGGATGAGAGGTTCCTCCTGTGAAAGGAACGGGATCTGACCTGGTTATCTCCAAGGCTCCTGCAAGTTCTACGCTTTCTGATTCTATCTTAGTATATGGCACAAGAGTAGAAAAATAAAATGCATTGGCGCTAGTGGGCAGACGGGAGCAACGCTGAAACCAAGTCTTGTTCAAAGACGCTGGCTTTGGCCTTGCTGGGGCTTGTTCCTCACAGGTCTGGAGTCCTGGGGAAGGTGCTTGGGAGACCCAGGAGATGGGGAGACCTGATTCACTTTAATGAGGAATGAGCAGAGTGAAGTCTTCTGTTGGGGAGAGGGGGTGTCCGGGGAACTGCACGTATAATATTTGCCATTAAGGGAATAGCGTGTCCCCTCCTCCCCGATGCAGAGTGATTCTCAGTGAAGAACTTTGGGTCAAGTCTCTTCTCACATAGGGCCTGGCACACAGAAATTTCATTCCCTTCCCTCAGAAGAGAAAAGGTACCCTGTCATTTAAGTCACCCCCAAGGTGAGGCTGCAGACACACTCATTGACACAGAATTATGCAGCTGGATATTGGGAAGGCTCTCTTGACAGTGAAGGATGCTAAATCCTAGAAAGAGTGATCAAGGAAGAACGGAATCTCCTTCTTTGCTTCCTTAGGATTAACATGCCTTCCAATCTGGCTGGGATGGTTTAGCTGTGGTCTTGTGTCTAGGGGGAAGGAGGTTTCCAAGTTGTTCGTTCAAGGAACCTGCTAGCAGAGGCTGCTGCCCTTTGTTCCCTCCAGGACACACGTGTTCACTCTTCTCTGAAGACTGCTGTCCTCTTAAAGAAATGTGGGCTTCCACAGCATTGGAATACTTCAACTTGCTTTAGAGAAGTGTTGTGTATGCAGACTATGTAACTCATGGGGGATTTTGCATACCCCTCCACCCCAGATTTCTGATTCTGGAAAGTTTTTTAAAACTATAATTTCCTGAGATTCTCATCCCAGACCTGTGGAATCAGAATCACCAAGAGTGAAGCTAACTCGTGTAGAGTGTTTAAGTCTTCCCAGGTGATTCTGATGCTATAGTTAAGGCATGTTTAGAGCTTATTCAAATATGAGGGATTAGAAAAGCCTTCTTAGAAAAGCGGTCTGGGAAGACTTCAGGCCCATTGGTAGTGGACACCCTCCAAAAATTTGGGCGAGGCAAATTCTCATGATGCACATCCAGAGAAATGGCATCGTGCTGCTTTCTTACTCACTTGAAGGATTGAGTTTATTTCACAGAGAGATTTCCAATTCTTGTCTGTATTTCCTGTGATCATCTGAGTGACTGTTGCTTCTTCACTTCTCGTTGTGACTACTTTGCTGTGACTGTTGCTTCCATGGAAAGAAAATATTTGTCCTTTGCTTTTCTGCTTCCGTGGGCATCCTAAAATAAATGGAGCTGTTAACTTGACCTTGTTTTGAGCAATAAATGCTTGGGATGGGGGGAGGGAAAGGCATGGAACAAACATTTATTCAGTGCTTCATATGCAGCAGGCACTGAACTCTAAGTCCTGTCACATAGATGGTCTTATTTAAGCCTCATAACAATCTTCTGGGCTGGATATTATCTCCACTTGGCAAATACAGAAACACTATCAGAAAGGATGTATCTCACCCAACATCACAAAACCATTATGGGCTGGAGGCATTTGAACTCAGATCTCTGTGAGGGCAACACTTATGCTCTTTCTATGAAACTAGCATGTGATTCGGAAGTGCACGATTGCACTGAGAACTTGGGCAAAGTCATTTAACCTCTCAGAGCATCATTTTTTTCATTTGCGAAAGAAAGGTTGACCTTGATGATCTCTAAGACTCTATCTCATCTAGGTTTTATTTATTAAAGGGTAATTGAAACTCGAAAGCAAGCTGGAAAGAGCTCTACTGAATGAATGCTATTGTTCTCCCAACCTGAAACTTCAATTACAAAACTGCGATAGTCTGAATGTAGGAAAGGCCTGCTTTATTTAATTGATTTTGAACCCGTGTCTTTGGAACTCGTCTAAGAAGCTGGGATCTTCCTCTGTTTGTGCTCTGTGCCTCAAATCTCTAGAACTATTTTGTTCAAAGCTCTTAACATATTTGTGAAATCCTTGGCTTGAGCACCCTGAGCTGTGAGCTCGTTTAAAGTCCACCCAGCAGAACGCTGGCATTGGCATTGACTGTCTGGCATAGATACTGGGAGGGCATGGCTGCCCTCCTTGATCTTGTAAATCCCCCCTCTCCTTAGCAGCCGTATATGACCCCACCGTTTATAAATGTGTCCAGACCCTTTCTGAAGCCAGCCCTTTGTGTCTTCTGCACAGACTGTTGTCTCGTGGAGAAATGAATTGCCTAAGTTTGTTATCTTGTGTCATTACTTCCTGGATTCCTTCTCCTTTACCCTCCTACTCTCTGTGGTGGAGTCCCTGTTACCCACCTTTTCAGGCCCGGTCGTTCCTGCTTCCCTGGCCAATTTGTAAGTTTAGAAATGAGATTTTCCAGCTGTCTTGGGCTGGTTCTTCCCCATCACCGGGAGCTCAGGGCACTGTTGTATTTTGGAGAATCTGAGCTGGGCTTCTGCATCAATGCCTACACCACATACTCAATGTTTTATGTGTCAAAAGAAGGTGCTGGCTTTTACTTTGGCAGACTTGGTTGGGATAACTTGGTCATGAAAAAATCCATACTCCAGGCTTGTTCTTTCTTTTGTTCTTTCTTTCTCAGATCTGGCAGAACAGAGCAAATTATTTATTTACTGGGCATCTTTTGTGTGCAAGAGGTGAAAAATCTGATTACCCGGTTGATGGGGTAGTGAGGGTGGTTGGGGTATGTTACAGAGAGCAACCTTTGACCTTTTATTTTGTTTCTGTCCTATCCCAATATGAGAATGCTTGCAAGTTGCCTCTTGCCTCTTGAGGTGCAGGGGTTAGCACAAAACCTCTAGCTACTGCTTTTTGCTGTTAAGGCCCCACGGATTAACTCCCACGTGATTATACAACAGAATGGAGTTAATGGCGGGGTTGTGAGCCAGAGTGAAGGGCTAAGGTTGAGGGATGGATGGGAGATGAGAAGTCTTAGCCCAGGGGAGCTAACTGTCAGAAATAACGTGCAAGCAGGGGCGTGAGTCCTGTTTGGACATGTGTCTGGTTGTGTGCAGATCTCAGAGGAAGTCGTGTCTGGGGACAGGGTGTGTTGGAAGTTCAGGATGCAGGCGTGGTAACCAGAGCAGGGTCATCCAGAACTCTACACCCCAAGAATGAGGCTGGAAATAGGGAACAGGGCCCAGCCCCGAGGGAACAGGGCTGTAACAAAGTAGGCAGGCTTTCCCTGGATTCCAGAACCCACCCTCGCCCCGCAGGTGAGTAAGACAGAGAACCCTGGGAACCAAAGACGCCTAGAAGGAAAAAGGTGAAGTCCTCAGAGGGGTGGGGGCCTGCTACTGCCCAGCATCACAAGCTCTGGGGAGGAATAGCCAAGACAATTCCTAAAATGTCTTTACCCTGTCACCGCCACCCCTGCTACACCCACACACACCCGTGAGCAGGGCATTTGTGCCAGCCGCTGTCTGCTGGCTTGGTTGCAGGGAAGGGACAGTTTATCCAGCACCTGAACAAGAATAGGTTGCCTCACTGGGAGGTTCCAGAAGTGAGTCTAGCTACCAGGGTCAGGAGAAGGCAGAGACTGAGCTCCCTGAGCTCTGATGTTAGATGTCTCCACCAGGTCATCTCAGACATTCCCGTTTGGCCCCAGTCATACTTTGAAATGTCTCCCTTGGAGGAGCTGCCCCTCATTCTGCAAGGGGCTGTCCTTTTTATCCTGTTCACGTTTGCAAAGCCCCACCTTTCACTTGTTCATTCGTTAATGACCTCAGAGTTCTTCACCCACTGCGCTTCTCTGCCAGTTCTGTGTTCTGTCTAAAATAATGATGTCGAAACTTATTTCCCCTTGGGGTGGCACAGTCTTTCTTCTTACTAATCAGAACATTTATGTGGTGTAACCCAAGATATATGCTCTGCTATAAATAAAAGCGTAACCAACCTAACCAGTTCAGTCTCTTTCCCCTTCTTCACTCCCCCCATTCTCCCCATGGATATGATATCCAGAGTGTGAAAACTGAGGCTAGAACAGTGTGCTTTCTCGGAGGTAAGTGGACTTCTTATCGAACGCATAATTTGTGTGAATCTTTGTTTTCTGAGTCAGAATGTGTGCCTGAAAGGCTAGTTAGGGCCTTCTTAATTAGGATCCACATGCCACAGCGAGTTAAACGGAGTAGAGGCTGGTTTGGGTTCTCTTGGGGTCACGAACATTACAAGACCTTTGTCTAGGGTTTCAGTTCCCTAAAGCCAGTTGTTTTGCTTCAACCTCATCTTGTTTCACAGAAAAAAGACCTGGAAGGCTTTTTGCTTCAATCAAGAGCTTAGAGACATGTTTAATAGGCCCCGGGGAAATTTCTGACCCAAGCAGAATCCTAAAGGAAGCAACGTAGTTGCCTAGGCTGTAAGGGAAGGTCCCTAAACAGGCCTCGTTTTCTGGAGTTTCAGAATTGAGAATGTTCATATGTTGGCCAGACGTTCTCTCCCCGGGCCTTTTCTGCCAAATGAGCTCCTTTTGGGGGCACCAACTTTCAGACCCAAAGAATTTGGCCAGACCTGGATAATTGTCTAGAAGAAATGGTTGGGTCTCGAGTCGAGGCAGGGGGAGGATTTTGATGAACTAGAAGCACGCGGGAAGCTCTTGAGAGGGTGGAGGAGGATTTTCTGAGCATGCGCCTGTTTGTTTCTCGGCAGGTTTTGGCTGGTGATTAAGGAAGATGGACACATGGTCACTGCCCGGCAGGAGCCTCGCCTCGTGCTGGTCTCCATCACCTATGAGGACGATCGCCTGATCCTCAGGGCTCCGAGCATGGACCAGCTGGTTTTGCCGAGCAAGCTGCCTTCCTCAAACGAGGTCCATGACTGCAGGTGCTCTGCTGGGGGCCTCTGGGGACCTGCCACAGACCTGATATTCTTTAGGCTCCTCCCTGCGCTCTAACTACAGTTTGTACAGAAGGTGATGAGATTGGTGAAGGAAATATTCAGGAGAAGTCTAGTCTGGGTTGGGATGGAGCCAGTGGTCAGGTGTGAGTGGATGAGGCAGTGTATTGCTTCAAAGATATACTGTTTTAATCAGATATGGTAAGACGTGCAGACACAGAAATGACTGTCATGAAGAAAGACGTTTTTTATGTTCACAGATCCCTAAAAACCAGAGGCCCATGCCGTGCAGGGCCACATCAGGAAGCACCGGGGTCGGTCAGGAGGCAGAGGGAATGGAGAAAAACATGAGCAAGGGTCTTTATGGTGGTTTCTGTAGGAAGCACCAGGTGAGGAAGGATAAACAGGCTTAGGATTGGCTAGTTGGAATAATTTCAGTGGGCTCTGGGCATAGGTGCTGTCCCTAGTTGTCTGATACTTGGCACTGAGTGAGTAGGGCAGGCGAATAGTGGTCCAGAGGGGAAGAGCCCAACAGAGGAGGTGGTTGGGTGGGGGCTCTGGATTGGTTGGTAGTATGAAAGGCTCATCAGGTGAGTGGTTTATCTCGAGGAATTGACTAGTCCTGGGAAGGGCAGTTCCTTCAGTGTCAGCAAAGCCCCAAGATGTCAAAGCATCAAAAATACAGAAAATAAAAAAGCATGATTAATACAAATATAGAGGGGGTAGAAAGGGCCAATCTTTAGGGTTTGTCTCCTTTAATTCAAGTCAGATGCACTTCTATTCAGAATTGCCAGCCCTCCAGCCAGCAGACAAGGGAGTTAGTGGAGACGTTGCCACCTGTGTCTCAGGATTGGCTGATAAGGATGCTGGAGCCAGTGGTCAGGTGTGAGTGGATGAGGCCTTTCAAGGTGACTCTGCAATCTCTGAGGTCTGAGATTGAGACTGAGGCGTCTCTGGAAGGAGTCACATGTAAGAGACTTCTAACTCTGGTCAGAGATGTGCCTCAGGCCTGGGCTTCCTTGCAGTCTGTGGGACCCCTGCAGGGCTGTCCAGTTCCATGGCTCACTGGTGTCTTGTCCTGTGCTATCAGGAAGTCTCAGAGGCTTAGACACTGGTCATGGGTGTTCTGGCTCCCTTTTTAACCATCTGGGCATTTTCAGCATATGGAAATTGGGGTTGTCCAGAGGTCCCAAGATTCAGAAGAGAGCCACAGATTGCTCCCTGTGCCCTGATCATATGCTTTTACAAGCGAAGTATCTGAGCTGAAATCCATCACTCAAGGTTTCAAACTTTCAAAAGCCCGAAGCAGTGATTCACTGAATACAATGTTTCAGTTCATGATCTCAGCAAGCTTATGAGGTGGATACCATTAATTCCATTTTACAAATGGGGAAACCAAGACTTAGATCACTGGCATGCCAGGCAGAGGTGGAATTTGAACCCACCTGCCTCCTTGGCGTTTGCTTTTAATGCCTGCACACGGGGAGGAGAAAAGCTATTCCACATATTACAGGTTTTGAGCGAATAAATTCATTGAAGAGAAAAACTGTAGCCATCTCAACTTGATTGGAGGACAGTCACAGCTCACGAGTAAATGCTTAGTTGACATGTGATGAGTGACAGGTACCGATGTTGCCTGGCAGACTCACTTTGTCACAACACTAAGCAAGGTTTCCCCCTCTTTGCCTTGCTCAGCAGGCAGAACTCTCGGGGGACACAAACCCTCCTGGATGGAGAGGGGAGGATCCTGTAGGGGGATTGAGCTAGGCCTGAAAAAGGCACCAAGTGAAGCCTGTCATATAATTCTATTCTACACATCGTGTTTCTGGATAAGGCGGGAATGGAGAATCTGGGAGTTTGGAGAAACCAGCCACTGGGTGCTGTGTTTAGATCAACACAGAGAGGAAGGTTATGTAATCAGCATTCCACCCTCTCCAGCTGGTTAGACATGCTATAAGTAGTGCGGCCTGTATTTATAAATTATTTTTAATGGATTGGTTGCCATGGAGACTGCTAAAAACTGAAGAAATGATATAAAGTAGGTGGTAAGTGACAGTGATTACCACAGCCAGCTCACCAGAGCCTAAAATAAGATAAAATAAACCAACAACCTCAAGTGGAAAAAAAGGAAATAAAATCCCTTAACACAGCCATATGGACAAGGAGGGTATGTCATGGGTCTTATTTTAATTTTTTTTTTTTTTGTGGGGAATATTAGCCCTGAGCTAACATCTGTTGCCAATCTTCCTCTTTTTGCTGAGGAAGATTGGCCCTGGGCTAACATCCGTGCCTATCTTCCTCTACTTTATGTGTGGGTCGCCTGCCACAGCATGGCTTGATAAGTGGTGCATAGGTCTGTGCCCGGGATCCTAACCTTCGAACTCTAGGCTGCTGAAGCGGAGTGCACAAACTTAACCACTACGCCACCGGGCCGGCCCCTTATTTTAATTTTTAAAATTTTTATTGTTAATTTCTTGAATCAGCTTTCCCTGTTCACCCTGCGTGGTGTTAAATTGTTTGATAGTAATTATAGACCAGTAGAGCTTTTTAATTATCGCAAAGATTTATGAGTAATTATTGTCTAAAAGGTCCAAGTTTATGTTTTAAAGTGAGAGGAAGTAAGAAATGACTTCAAACCAGGACAGTCCACTGGAAGTTTTATTTCTTTATAACTGAAATAATAGTTCCTCTTGAAAAGGAAGCAATTTCTCCAGCTGGGTTTCATTTAGTTACAAATTATATTGACTATTGATAATATTATATACTTAAATATTCAATACATCACAAAACAACACATGTAATGTACATGTAAGTTATAAAACATAATAATGAAACAAACACCTGTAGCACAGTACACAATTTAAGAAATATAACATGAACAGAAATATTTCAGGTACCTTCCTGTTATTCTACCCTTCAGAGGTAACCAGTATCCTGAATTTCTTTCTCTCCCCCTCATTCCTCTGCTACTTTAAATAGTCTTTCTACATATGTATGTGCTCCTAAATAGTATATGGTTAAATTTTGCTTAGTTTTAAAGTTTATCAAAATGTTATTGTGCTGTACGTATTCTGCAGCTTCCTATTTTTCTCAACATTATGTTTCTAAGATTCATCCATGTGTTGCTTATAGCTGGTGGCTGTGGTTCACTTGTTTTCGCTGCTGTGTAGTTTCCGTTGTATGAATTTGCTGTAATTTACTTATTCATTCTCTTGTCCACGCTCATATAAATGTTTGTGGTCTGTTTCCTAATGCCAACAATGTTCTCTGAACGTTCTTGGACGTGTCTTTAATTCTTTTTTTTTAAATAATTTTATTTATTTATTTTTCCCCCAAAGCCCCAGGAGATAGTTGTATGTCATAGATGCACATCCTTCTAGTTGCTGTATGTGGGACGCGGCCTCAGCATGGCCGGAGAAGCGGTGCGTCTGTGCGCGCCCGGGATGCGAACCTGGGCCGCCAGCAGCGGAACGCGCGCACTTAACCGCTAAGCCATGGGGCCAGCCCAGTGTCTTTAATTCTTTAAGGCCTGAACTTAGGAGTAGAATGACTGAATTCAGAAAATGCCAAATTGTTTCCCCAAACTGTTTTACCAAATCTACTTCATCGGGGTAAGGGTCCATTCTCTCATTTCCTCATCAGCTGGGTTTCTTGTTACTAGTCCTCATCATTTGGATTCTCTTACACTTTAAATTCTGTAAATATCTTTAAAATGAGTCAGGTGGTATATCTTTGTGGTTTTAATTTGCATTTCTTGGGTTTCTAATAAGGTTGAATATTTTTTTCTTTATGATTATTGGTTCCTTATGTTTTCTGGTCTCTGAAATTATTTTTCATATTTTATGCCCAAGTTTTCCCTTATTGACAGGGAGTTATTCTTTCATTGGCTCTATACAAATCTTTGGTCAAAAATATGAGATGCAAATATCCTGCTTTGTGGCTTATCTTTTATCTTTTTTATGGTATCTTCTGATAAATAGACATTCTTAATTTTATTATATTCAGATTAATTGTTTTTTTTTTTTTTGGATTAGCACTTTCTTTGTGTCTTAAGAAATATACTCCACTCCAAAGTTCTAAATATATTCTCCTACTATGTTTTTTCTAAAACTATTGAAGCTTTGCCTTTTTCATTTATGTCTGCATTGCATCTAGAGTTTATTTTTGCATGTAGTTTGAGGTTGCAGTCCGGTATGATTTTTTTTAATACAGTTATCAATTGTTCCAGCACTTTAGTGAATAATCCATACGTTTCCCACTGACCTGTAATGCCGCCTCCATTGTATATCAAGATCCTTAAGAGGTGTCAACCTTTTTCTCAACTCTTGACTCAGTTGCACTGGTTTATTTATCAATTCCTGATCCTATACTATACCGCCTTAGTTACTTTAACTTTGTATCTTGATGTCTAGTAGGAAAAGTCTGCTCATTATTTTATTCGTCTTCGAAAGTGTTCTGACTCTTCTTGGTCTTCATTCTTCCATAAATTTTAGAATCAGCTTGTCAATCCATGTAAAATCCTTTTGGGATTTTGATTGGAATTGCATTGAATTTGTGGCTCAATTTAGAGAAAATCAAAATGAGTTTATATATATATATAAAACATTTGGGGGGCCGGCCCAGTGGCATAGTGGTTAAGTTCGCGGGCTCTGCTTCGGCGGCCCAGGGTTGGCAGGTTCAGATCCCGGGCATGGACCTATGCATCGCTCATCAAGCCATGCTGTGGCAGCATCCCATATATAAAATAAAGGAAGATGGGCACAGATTTTAGCTCAGGGCCAATCTTCCTCACCAAAAAAAAAAAAGTGGAAGAATGCCTGGTTCATAGCAGGTGCTTAAATAAATGTTAGCCTTAAATAGCTACTATCATCTTTATTGTATGGAGCTTCCCTCTTCATGAATGTGTTATCTCTCTTCACTTATTTGTGTCTTATTTTACTTTAATATAGTTTTATAATTTTCTCTGTAATGGAATTGTACATCTTTTGTTAGATTTAGTCCTAGATATCTTATCTTTTTGTTCCTATTTTAAATGGCAATTAAAATTTTTTTTCTGTGTAAGATTGGTAGTTTTTATCCTTTGATTATTGGTAGAACATTCCAGTAAAACTGTCCGGATTTGCTTTGTAAAAATCCGTTCAGGGCCGGCCCCGTGGCTTAGTGGTTAAGTGCGGGCGCTCTGCTGTTGGCGGCCCGGGTTCGGGTCCTGGGCGCGCACCGACGCACCGCTTCTCTGGCCATGCTGTGGCCGCGTCCCACATACAGCAACTAGAAGGATGTCCAGCTATGACATATAACTATCTACTGGGGCTTTGGGGGGAAAAATAAATAAATAAATAAAATTATTAAAAAAAAAAATCCGTTCAAGTTTTTATGTCTTCAGTTTTTTTAGCAGGTTATTTTGCTTTGCGCATTAGTAGATTACTAACTAATGAAGTTCTATTGTATTCACACAGGAAGAGTCAATTTTTTTCTATGGGTTGTTGATGATGGGACATTTTGTGTCAAAATGTGGAAGAAAGTGGACTTTGCATAAAATTCTGAAAGAACTGAAGAAGGGGCATGACAGAGGGATGGATGCAGTCTGTTGCAGGGAATAGAGAGTGAGGATCAGTGGAGGGGTGACTTTCAGGAGTGGGGAGGCGGCACTGGATAACGGCGTTCCCTCACCCCGTTGGGTGCTGCCTACCTTTCAGAGTGCCGACACTGAGCTCACCGGGGTGGATGGAAGCTGAGAGGCAGGGCTGTGAGCATTTACATACGAGTGCTGTTGTGAAGGGGTGGAGGGAAGAGCTCAACCTTGGCGCAGACGCTTGAGGAACTGGGGGATAGTGGGATCAAATCTGTTTGAAGTAGTAGACTGGTGGGTTGAGGAGAGTTTTAGGGGAACGGCTGAAGGCGGTGAGAGAGAGGACCATGAGAAGGTTTGGGAACCGAGCCAAGAATTAATCACAGACCAAACAATGGCCCCAAGAAGGAGGTTTGGAGAGAAGGAAAAGGTCCAAGAAACATTAGAAGAATAGCATCAAGATTTGACAGTAGATAGGATAGGCGTGTCTAACAGTCAGAGCTTGAAGACCACTGTGTTATCTAATGGAATCTGTGCCCACCATGTTGGGTAGGTACTATGTTATTATCTCCGATTTACAACTGGAGACAGAAGGCCAGAGGAATTAAATGATTTGCTAAAGGTCACAGGCTGGAGAATGGCAGAGATCTGAATTGAACTAGATCTGCCAGACTCCAAGCTCAGGGCGCATTTACCACCCTGCAGTCCTTCTCTCTTTCTAAAAGGATCCTAAATCCTTGCTACTCAAAATGTGGCCCATAGACCAGCAGCTTAGGCATCCTGAAGCTTGTTAGGAATGCAGAACTTCAGGCTCCAACCCAGACCTACTGAACCAGAATCTTCATTTTAACAAGATCAGGGTGAGTTGCAAGCATATCAGGGTTTGACAAGCTCTTTACTGGAGCACATTCTCCTTCCCCCTCTGCTTCTGCCCAGCTTTGATCCGAGGACCACTTACTGGCCATGTGGGATAGTCAGGTCCCAACAGTTTAGTGTTCTGTCTTGATGCCATCACTCAGTGTCTTGATGCAAGAAAGTAACCCTGGTGCTCTCTTGTGACCCTTCCAGGCTATTTGGTCTTGACATTAAGGGCAGGGACTGTGGCGATGAGGCAGCTCAATGGTTCACCAACTTCTTGAAAACAGAAGCTTTCAGGCTGGTTCAGTTTGAAAAGAACATGAAGGGAAGACCATCGGGGGAAATTTTCCCTGATTTTGTACAGAATTATTACCAGGTGAGTTTACAGAGAGCTGTTTTTGCTTCTACCAGACACTCTTCTCTTTCCGGCTTCCTTTTTGGCCCACAGAGACCCTCTCTGAGGACCCCAGTTAGGAAAGTGTAGTGATGGCCCAGGTGAGTGGTACTGAGGCCGCGACCTGGGCAGGTATTGGGGATGGAGAGGGAAGTGGATATGAGAGCCTAGGGTCTCCAGGATATGTGGGGGATAGAATATGAGAGACACAGTGGTCCCCCCCTTGTCCTCAGGGGTTACATTCCAAGACCTCCACTGGATGCCAGAAACCTCAGATAGTACCGAACCTTATATATACTATGTTTTTTTCTACACTAAGCACTTTTCACACACTGTGGCCATGACTTTTGCTGTTTGAGGTGTGACAGCAAAACCAGCATGAATTTTTTTCGTTTTTCACAGTTTCACCTACAGAAGATTCATTGTTACCGTAGATCTTCGCAACCTCAGCACACGATTTGTTTTCTTTCCTTATTAAGTCGAGAACTTTCACCTTTTCACGTATAGGAAGCACTTGATGGCGTCTTTTTGGCATATCCGAATTGCCAGCATCACTACTTTTGCACTGTGGGGCCATTATTAAGTAAAATAAGGGTGACTTGAACACAAGCACTGTGGTACTGCGACAGTCAGTCTAATAACCTAGACGGCTACTAAATGACTCATGGGTGGGTACTGTACACAGCTTGAATGAGCTGGACAAAGGATGATTCATGCCCTAGACGGGACAGAGAGGGACAGCGTGAGATCTCATCATGCTGCTCAGAACGGCGCACAACTTAAAACTTATGTATTATTTCTGGAATTTTCCATTTAATATTTTCGGGCCGCAGTTGACCACGGGTAATGGAAACCGCAAAAAGTGAAACCTTGGATGAGGAGGGACTACTGTACTGTAGAGGGAGAAGCCAGGGGTGACTCCCAGGAGAAAGTGAGTCGGGGAGGCGAAAGTTAGAGCTTGGTTTGGGACTAAATCCAGGTTTCCTACAATGACAGAAGCAGACTTGCTGCAAGCGCTTCCCCCACAGCGGTGTGGTCTGGTTACTTCAAGCGCTGAGAAGGCACGTCCTCCTGAAGAAAACTGCCCTCTGTGCCAGTTACAGGCCAAAGACCAAAGCCTTTGAGTCTGCAGGGAGATAAGATTTAAAACGCAAGCGCCTCAGGGAGTTCTCCCCACACTCCCTAACTACAAGCTCCTGGAATGCAGGGTTTTCTCTGCTTTGTCCTATTTCCCACGTAAAACAGTGCCTGATACACAACTGGTGCTTAATAAATGCATATCGAGTGAAGAGATGCTGCTGCAGGAAATCATTACGAGAGTATAGCTGACAGCAGCAGCCCCTGCCCCTGTGTGACGATGCTGATGTGGGAGGGGGTCATTGCTGGGTGCTTCAGCGAGGAATGAGAAAGATGAGCCTGGAGGGTAACGCTGGGCCCGAGCCCTGGCTGCTGCCTTCAGTGTGTGCACGGGAGCCCCGCCCGAAGCCCTGCAGGCAGGGACCGTGCCCCAGCACTGACTTGGCCGTTTCCAAGCCCGCCATGCCACCTCTCCTTCCCGAACACCGCTGTCGCCTTCCGGCACTTGGGTGCTTGTCTTCTGGACTTGGCTCAGCTTTGCTGTTGGTCCCAGGAATTTCACGGGGCAGTGAGGCCTGACCATGCTGTGTTCTTTGCACAGGTGGCCTACCCGGACTGCAGCCCTGTCATGATCCTCTCGGAAGCCTCCCTGGCAGATCTGAATACCAGGCTGGAGAAGAAAGTGAAAATGGAGAATTTCAGGCCAAATATCGTGGTGACAGGCTGTGATGCTTTTGAGGAGGTAAGTGGCTCAATGCTTTTGTGCGTTGTGCCCAGAGATGCTGTCCAAGACACTAACGGAACTGTCTCCTCTAGCCGGCGCCAACTCAGACCCTCCAGGGTGGCAGTGGGGGAGACTCTCCTTCCCGGAGGGTCACTTAACCCTGAGGAGTTGTTCAATGGCTGCTGCCATCACTTCGCTAGCCTCCAGGGGGCACTGCTCACCCTTCAATACTGGGCCCCAAAGCAAGCAATCAGAGCTCCAGACTGTGGCGAGTCTGGGACTAGGCTAGAATATATAGTCATAGCTCATAGATAACTAAAGGGAAATGGAGATGAGAACAGCCATCTCTCCCTTTTCTGTACCACCCGGGAGTGCTCAAAGATTTGAGACCCGTGGAAGCCTCAGACCCCAAGGTGGAGGCCAAGAGGAGATAGAGGAGACCTGCCTGTGAACGAGGCCCTGGAGACGTTCCACGCTGTGGCCTGAGTTCTCTCCCAGAGCACCGCCCTGCTCTCCTGTGGGGCTGACTCCAGAAATTTGCACCCTCTCTAGACATAGTCCCTTGTAGCGCTGAAGATACAACCACATCGGAACCAGTTTTAACCTGCGATCTGTACACGAAATACCTATAGCTGGGTGTTGCTTTGTAATAAGAACCATTAGCAATCATATGAAGCATTGAGGCTGGGCTAAGTTTTATGAGCACTGGAAGTAACAACCACAAATACTATTTATTGGTGTTTACTGGATGCCAGGCACTGAACTAATGAATCACTTCATACAAATTACTTTATTTGATGCTGTAGAAGTCTGTAGTATTCTCTCCTTTTTGTAAGGAAACTGAAGCCAGGAGGTGTTACACAACTGTTAGGTGTGTAAGTGGTGGCTCTGGCTTAGAACCCAAGACCTGCAACTCCAGCTTCTGAGGTGTTGAGGTCTTGGTTTTGATTTAGGGATCGCAAGTCATCAACTGAGGGGAGAGGCTCTTGAAGACCTTCTCGATTCTTTGCTCCCTTAGGTGCCCGCATTTCCTTTTGTGTGAGTAAAATGTGCCTCTATTTGCTGGTAAACATTTTCCTTTAGGATAAAGCTTTGCACAGAGCCTAGTATAAATCCTTACATGTGCAGGCACTTCATATTATTTGATAATTGAAAAGATAGCAGGGTAGAGCCAGCCCTGGTGGCCTAGTGGTTAAAGTTTGGCGCACTCTGCTTTGGTGGCCCGGTTTGGTTCCCGGGTGCAGAACCACACCACCCGTCTGTCAGTAGCCATGCTGTGACAGCGGCTCACGTGGAAGAACTAGAAAGATTTACAACTAGAACGTCTAACTGTGTATTGGGGCTTTGGGGAGGAAAAAAAAGAGGGAGATTGGCAACAGATGTTAGCTCAGGGAGAATCTTTCCCAGCAAAGAACAGTAGCAGTGTATACAGAAGTTGTCTACTTGTTGACTTTATCCTGGCATTTGGTATCTATTTTCTTTAATTTCTCTTTATATTTGTTAAAATTTTTCTTTAATTGGTCATCTAATATGGGCCAGGCACTGTGCCCAAGAACTCTGGATACAAAGATGAAAAAAGACAGATCCTGCCCTTCAGAGTTCCCGACATGAGAGGAATGGCCACGAAACAGTGACAGCCCAGCGTGTTTTGTGGACGTTCTTAGCAGGTCCAAGGATGCTCGGAAGTAGAAATGCCTAAATCTGCCAGGAGAAGGGAGGCATGGGGTGGGGTGGGGTCAGATCATCCTACCCAGAAGCCATGCTGTGTATGTGTGTAGGTGTGCATGCTGTATCTGTTGGCGAGGGTGAGTGAGAGTCATTGTTGGTAAAGGAGGCAGCCAGTTGGAAGGCTTAAAAGAAGCCATGACATGAAGGGGTGCCTAGGGGCATTTCAGAATCACACTGGGGGCAAAGTGACAGGAGGAGGCTGTACCCCGAGCTGGCTGGAGGCCACCATGCCAAGGAGTTTGGATTTTATATTGTGGATGTTGAGGAGCTGGTAATGATTTTGAACAAGGAAATAATTATGATTTGCATTCATCCAACAAATATTACTGAATGCCCACAGTGTGCCAGGCACGATATTCCTCTGGCAACTCTCTGGAATGTGTATCGAGAGGTAGGGAAACCTGAGGCGGAAACACCATAGGGTCTTTTTGAAAAGCTGCAGATTAGCAGGCCTCACCTAAAACCGACATCGGAATCGTGATAAGGCCTCTGACGCCGCGTTGGCAGCACCCTCCCAGCTCAGTCGTGCAAACGCCTCCGAAAGAAGCACTGGCTTGGGGGGTGAGAGATGTGGATGGTCACGGAAGGGGTAGGAGAGGAAGGGGTGCCGACACTCTCAGGCCATCAGCTCCTTGAGGGAAGAGACTCGATTTTTCTCCCCAGGAATAAATCTAGATTTGACAGGACCTGAAGTTTATACAATTTGGGGGGCCTCTTTAAGAAAAGAAATTAATAAAGACAGAATTAGGTGCAGGGCCTCAAAGGGGGCCGGTGCTAGGGAAGGGCCTGAGGCTCAAGCCTCGTTAGCTTCCTAGTAAACCTGCCTGTTTCTCCCCTGTTCGACTTTCCCGTGCTTTCTAGTAGAGAGTTCCTAAGTATGGAGTCATTAGATGCTTGTTAAATGCCGAGTTAGGGTTCAGTGTTAATAATGCATGTTACTAAAGATTAGATTAGAAATTAGTCCATGAAGCAAAAATCCTTTCACAGGAATCCTGTAACGGGTCCCTGATTTTCTGAGAAACTTTCTTTTAGGGAATAAAATTTTTCTTGATTTGTCTCCACTGAAGATATTAATTTTAGTTTAAGATACTGAACCAGGGGAATAAGAGAAAAGATACTCTCAGTCTTGGCTAAAGAATTTTGCTCTCCTATAACTTGCCAAACTGACCCTAAGGCTAATGTAAGCCAGTTGTGTTCTCTTAGGTAATTTGAGTGGGTGGAGTCTTGTTTTTAGTCAAAAAATGTGAAGGGACCTCGTGCTGCCAAGTCCATTTGTTGTTTTATTCCTGCATGGCGATGGGCTTACGGAAATAGTAAGGTAGAACACTCTTATTTTTCTAGGACAGTCCTCTGGTAATGCACATTAAAAAAAATCCTTACTGGGCCGGCCCCATGGCTTGGCGGTTAAGTGCGTGCGCTCCGCTACTGGCGGCCCGGGTTCGGATCCCGGGCGCGCACCCACGCACCGCTTCTCCGGCCATGCTGAGGCCGCGTCCCACATACAGCAACTAGAAGGATGTGCACCTATGACATACAACTATCTACTGGGGCTTTGGGGGAAAAAAAGGAGGAGGACTGGCAATAGATGTTAGCTCAGAGCTGGTCTTCCTCAGCAAAAAGAGGAGGATTAGCATGGATGTTAGCTCAGGGCTGATCTTCCTCACAAAAAATAAAAAAATAAAATAAAAAATAAAAAAGCCTTACTATAAAATGATGTTAATGTTACTGATTTATTCTCCGTTAAATTAGGAAACCCAATAGTTAGGGGCCTGATGCATTAACCTGCCTACCTGGCACCGTGACACAACTATGACTTTCGATTAGTGGGACTCTGTTAAATATTAATGTAAAATGACAATGCACATAAATATTTAATAGACCAACTAATGATAAGAAAAATAGCAAACCTAAGCATGGTGCAAAAGTTTAGGCCATTATTGATTGCAAAAATGTAGAGCAATAGGAGAATGTATTGTGCAACATTTTCTCTGTGACCCCAAGGACTTTGTACTTTTTCCACATAACAGAATATTAAGCAGGTTTTCAAAGGCGGCTTCTCTTGGGCCATCGTGGTGTGTTTGAGTTCTGGGAATGCAGAGCAATGAAGTTTAAAAATAATAAAATTGACCAATGCTTCTTATCTCTGTAGTTGACCATTGTGGGGAGTGTGTTTCCCGAACTTGGCTCGCTGTCCTCGTGGGCAGGACTTGATGTTTTCTTGGAATGTCTTGTTTGTGTCATTCCTCCCTCCACATTATGAAAGAACTGTGGAGAAGCTTGCAGAAAACCCTCAGTGTGTTATCTGTCACTTGGGAAGTGCTTCTCCGAGAAGCTTCTAGAGAGGCAGTAGATTTTGAAGCCAGACTGCTGTGGTTTGAATCCCAGCCCCCCTGCTCCCTGGCTGTGTGAATTGGGTCCTCTAGTACTATCCTTTGCAGCTGTTGAAAAAGAAATTGTTTTTTTCCTTTGGTGAGGAAGATTGGCCCTGAGCTAACATCTGTTGCCAATCTTCCTCTTTTTGCTTGAGGAAGATTTTTGCTGAACTAACATCTGTGCCAACCTCCCTCTATTTTGTATGTGGGACACTGCCACAGCATGGCTTGACGAGTGGTGTAGGTCCATGCCCGAGATCCGAACCCCTGAACTCTGGGCTGCCGAAGTGGAGCACTCAAACTTAACCACTACACCACCGGGCCAGCCCCCAAAAACAAAATTTTTGCAAATCATCATTACCAGACTTTTCAGTCCCAAACCTGAGTTGAGATGAGTTAGGATTTCATTTGGATGCTCAGATAAGAAGTCTTTGCCTGGCTTCAGGAGTGTCTGAAGTAGCCATGATAATAATAACAATATATAAAACAATAACAAAATTAACAATAACAATCATGGCTCACAATTATCAAATGCTTACTATGTAGCAAACTCTGTGTCAGCTCCTTTATGTGCATTATCTCATTTAATCCTACTTATGCTTTCCAGACCACAGGTCACAACCCATCATTGGGTCATAATATCAGCTGGGTCCTGACCAGCATTAAAAAAAAAAAAAAAGGCTTGAATAGAATAAAAGATATCAGAGTAAACTACGTGTAGAAAGGTTAAGATTGTTTTGCAAAACTTTTGTTTAAGTTATATCTGGGGTGTGTGTGTGAGAGAGAGTATTAGGAAACAATGTAATATGTAGTTTTTTAAAAAGACTATTTTTTTAGAGAAGTTATAGGTTTATAATAAAATTTAGAGAAAGGTATAGAGATTTCCCATATACCCCCGGCCCCCACACATACAAAGCC